TTGAGAAATTTTAACCAAAGTATGTTATAGACTTTTCATTAAGACCCTAAAGAATCATACCAACTTGTGGAAAAGGGGCATCTGATGACTCCTTTAAGCTTAAATAGAACTAAAATATAGTACTAGTACTGCTATAGTTTTTATTATTATTTTGAATTAGTTTTTCATTTAATATTTTCTTTTAATTTTGATTAAAGTTTAATTTAGTAATTTTAATTATTTTTTACATATATGTTAATTTTTATATCAGTTATAATTTTAGTTCTAATAGTTTTTAAGCTTAAATAGAACTAAAAATGGTACTCGTACTGTTACAGTTTTTATTAATATTTTAATTTAGTTTTTATTTTCATATTTTCTGTTGTCATTTTAATTGTAGTTAAAGATTTGGTAATTTTGATGTTTTTGTCATTTTTAAATTTTTAAAAAGTTTTTTTCCACTTTTATTTCAGGTTTAGTTATTTTAGTTTTTAAGCTTAAATGGAGCTAAAACAAAATAACAAAATAGCTGTTATAGTTTTATTAATTAGTTTTTTATATTATATATGTTTATTTTAGTTAAAGTTTTTGTCATTTTGTGGTATTTTGTCATTTTTATTCATTTTAGATTTTTAAATATATCTATATAGTTTTTATTCATTTTATTTTTATTCATGTTATCTTAGTAACTAGTTATTTTGGCAACTAGCTGAAATAAAATAAGTAATTTTTTTACTCTTTAGTTAAATTTTATTTATTTATTTATTTTTAGTTACCCTGTTTAGGACAGACAGGAAGTGGACATTATTCTGTGGGAAGAATAATGCAGCGGTCCAAATGAGTGCCGCTGTTTTATTAAAACAAGCTGTAACGTTCAAGATGGTCATGAAATTTCATTAAAAAATTACTACTAAAAAATAAAAAAAAAATTAGTATTTTGCCTTAACCAACCAAGTGATAAGTGACTGAACAATTAGTAGATTGTTTGATTCACTGAATAGCTCCGCCCCCTTTTGACATTTCATTGGTCCAAAATCTGGCTCCTCATTAAACATTAAGCATCAAATATGATGAGATTGGCTGTTTTTATGTTTTGTCATGCAGCAGTTTCATGTTCAGTGTTGATGGGCAGATAACTCATCACTTCACGCCTGGTAAGTTAGAGGTATTGTAAAGAACATTTGTCAGGCTATCATAATTATTGATTTATTGCTTTTGGAATTTCTGTGCATCTGAATCACAGTCACTGAAGCATCACATTATTAACAGGTGGATTATGTTGCGTTTGTTTAACTGTCTCTTCTGTATTTAACACAGTTCTTTGGTGTTCTGTGAATCAGTCAGAGTGAAAATCCCATGACGAGCCGCTGTGACTAATATTCCACAGAGAGACAGAGGTGTTATTTCAAACAAACACATGGTGATATACAGTAGGTCTCTGGCTCTCCATAGAACAAGCATTTGTCTCCTTCAAACAATCCGAGCTGAAAAACAAACACTCTCGATCTGCTCTCGCTCTTTAGCGTGACGTCCAGGCGTGTGTGCGCGCAGATCTCGGGCTTTGCTGAAGCAACATGAATGAATAGCTCATTTAGCTGTGCTAACTCCGTCTGGCTTTGATCTGCGTCCCATTCGGAGCCGCTGATGCTTCCCGACAGCTTTTACACAGATGTGTTTGGACGCTGACAGTGGAGCTTGTCCCGCGCTTTGACGGGAAACAGCGTGAGTCAGTTACAAAGACCGATAGAAAGAGAATGAGAGATTTGATAAGTCAAGCAAAGCCAGCTAGAAGGTTGTAAAGGTACCTTTGGAGTTTAAAAACACCACATTTTCCATGGTTATATGCCGTTTAGTCATGATTAGCCCAAAGGTACACTAACTGTATGAA